TACCTTTTGAAAATCTATTTAGTAATTTTAAACCTACCCAGCACCTCTGCAAGTCTGTTGATTCTCATCCTTCTATCAGGTTTTCTCACCCTCAAGTTTCTTTATATGACATGTAATATTTCACTGTATGTTTATCTAAAATGAGGGTTATTTTTAAGTGGAGGAGGAGTTCCTGGAGCCCCATTTTGTCAAAGATGCTGCAGATAATTTGTGATTGGAATCAGCCACAGCAGTCAGGCTTGGACAGAATTCTAAATGCTTCTGCTTCTAGAAGAATGTCCACATTAATTACACTACATGGACCTCTGACTCAGCTTGTGGAAATTCAGATCTCACATCTGTGCCTGGAGTGTGCATACCATTGGTAACCATGTTCTACCCATGGCCGTGGAAATGTGATAAGCTTCCTTCCTTGCTTTCTCGGGCGGATGTTCTCTAGGCCTTCTCTCATAAACGGGGATGCTCACTGAGCTTCTGGGTTTCATTCCCGGGGCTCAGCTCCAGCATCCCTCCCCATCGTCCCTACCCCCGTGCCTCTAGCCTGCAGGTGCAACATGCCTCTTCTCTGACCGCCTCCCATCCTTTTGTAGTTTACTGCTCAGGGGCCACTGCCTCTGGAGTCACGCTCACCCTCAGGTTTACAATCCGCGCCCCGCCCCCCCCATTCTTGGGACCTAAGTGATTCCCTCGCTTTCTTTCATTCCAGTTCAACTATGTGCTGAAAGCAAATGTTGATAAAATCACGCAGCGACTTTATGTCTGTAGCGGGGATGGGATGTCATCCACGCTTCTATGGCCCCATCATAAACTTTCACGAGGAACAGTATTCTCTGTCTTACCCTAGGCAGTATTTTCTGATTTCCACTAAAACACAAGCCATGTTAAGGTCCTGGAAGACAGATTGGTTGGAGCAGGGTTCTGTTTTCTCTCACAAATTAGGTGAATTCTTCAGTTCCTAAGCAACACTAATTTTTTCTAGAGTGCCTGGCACATGTGGAGAACTTAATAAATGGTGGTTATCTTCCACTAACCATCCAAGAAGAGCAATCAGAAGAAAATAATTTTTATCCAAAGCATACAATTAAAAAGCTAGGATCTCAGAACCAGAGGGGCACTGGTTGTTGGTATTTGAGAACCGACACTCCCATTTCTGCAGACGGGGATGGGAGCTTGGGGGGGGGGGGGCGGAGAATGCTTCTCTCTGAACCCTCTGATGCCCAGTTTTCTAAAAGCAACCTTATTATTTTCCTTAATTGTTGAGAGGCCTTAAAATCTCAGGATGACACACTCTCAATTAAGGTATAAAAATAGTGTGGAAATTTCCATCGTTTATAGTCACTAGTAGGGAAAATCTTGAATATTTGCATTTAAAAAAATCAAGAACATAATACTACAAATACAGGCAAAATTCTTTTCTTTCTTTTTGTTTTTACTCAGGGGTTGTGAAGGGAGAAGAGGTATTTTGGACTCATTCTATTTATAACAGAACATTGGAGTATATATGTTTGTCCAAAATGTGAGGAGCAGTATGCAATTTCTGTTTTTAAATGATCAAAGTAAAAAAATATTCAGATTAGAAAGAAAATCTCACACTTCAAACTTTGTGAGATTTCCATTTTTAACCTTAATCTTGTTTTTGGATTGGCATTTCTACAAACAACGTTTTCCCAGTGATCTGATGGATATGTCACCACAAACGGTCCACTGCTTTGAAGTGATCATCTTAAGGCCTCTATCACTGAAAAATCTTTCTTTATAAAATCCATCATAACATTTTTGCAGCACATTCCTGCATGCCAGATTTATACCATAAGAGCCTATTTCATTTCTTAGTTTTAATTGGGTTAAATGGCATAAACGTAAGACACTGTCGTTACATTACAGTAGATTTCAAGTGAGTTCTCCTCAACGCTGCCAGGCATCAGGATCTGTCTTCCCACCTCAGAAACTCTCTTAGGAAGGACAGCAGGTCGAACCACAGAGTGTAAACAAAACAGCAGGTCAAACCACAGAGTGTAAACAAATAGACAAGTCCATGAACAGATGGCTATGGCCCCACCACTGTCCACAATTTTCTTGGTGGTCTTATTAATAAGCAAGCAGTAACATGCATCTGTCAATGATGTTTGAAAACCACCATATACCCTAAATTATCTCCCTGCATTACAGTGATGGATTATATCATGCAAAACCTTCAGAGAGCCTTTCAATGTCAAGGAAACCTTAGAAGGTGACCTTGCTGTATGACATCCAGTTACTTCCGAGGTCTAACAGGAACCATTAGGAACCATTAGGAAAATGATACAAGTTGAGATGGTCTAATTTATTAAATTAGTATAGAAAATTTTGTCAACAAATAGACTGCTGTTAGTAAACTTTGGACTTTTTCTTTTTTGGAACGGGTCCCCATCCTGGGTAAGTCAGTGTAATGTGAATCTGGTTCACTAAGTTCTACACGTTCACACCCCACCTCGCAAGCATTCAGAGTTGAGTGGTCTCTATGTTCTGGGTAGAAAGGAAGATTCCAATAAATAACAATAAATTTCATTAAACATCCTCATCTCAGAAAAACACAGTCATCCAAATCTCAGAAGCCCTGCGATGTAGAGAGTGTAAGCAACTGGCATGTTGAAACTGTGATCTGCATTTTATACACAATTAAACTTTCAAGGTCTCTGGAAAGCAGGCCTCCGCAGTGCAGGAACCCACAACCTCACAGTCCTGAGGTCCCCAGCCTCCCACAGCTTGGTTCCCAGTCTCACTGGCATGACAGATACTATCATCTAAGGCAACGCTAACTGTTCAGTCTGGATCCAGGAACTGCTCTCTCCCAGAGAACTCATCATTAAAATGCAAATAGGTGTTTCCCACTTGACTGGTTTAGTGGTGAAACGCTGTTCACAGCCCCGACAAGAAAGGGAGCTCCATCAATTAATTGATGCCTTAACCTTCCGGGTGTGATGAGTGCCTGGGCCCAGATCTGGGCCCAACATCCTGCCGCCAGCTGCTGGCCTTGATCCTTGCTCTGCAGCAGGCTTACGAGTTGACTGATAGAAGCTGCTGAAGAAATTACGAACAAAAAAGCTGATTTCAGATTCTGCTCACTGCACCCAGCCAGCTCTCACTCAGACTAATTACTTAAATGATTTAAAAATGTATGAATATTCATATGATCGTGCTTTTCAAAAAATAAAGCACAGCTGAGGCTGTGCCATCCAAACTTTCCTGCTCGCTGGTGTGGAGCAACCCCACTTGCGTGTCTGAAACCCTGAAATGACTGTGAGAGGGGAGGAGTCCTGCGAGGGGTCAGCCTTGGTCCCACGGCCACCTGACTGCAGCCTGAGACCACCCTGACCCTCAGGGCCCCTCCGGCTGGATGGCTGGGGTCACTCTCACACCAAGGAAAGCTGGACTCTGATTAAACATCCACAGGCCCATGTACCCCAGAACAAGGACAGATGTGTCTCCCCTCCCCCAGCAGGTCCCCCTGCTGGGCTGACAGCGCTCCTGACCTGGACCTCAGGTGGACCTCAGGCAGGTGGACGCAGCCGCGAGCTCGTCCTGGTCAGGCAGGCCCGGGTCAGAACGTAGGGCTGGGCCTCTGCCTGGTCAGGCAGGCCCGGGTCAGAACGTAGGGCTGGGCCTCTGCCTGGTCAGGCAGGCCCGGGTCAGAACGTAGGGCTGGGCCTCTGCCTGGACCTGGGCCTGGCTCCACCGTGCACTGCTGCCAGCCAGCCAGGGCTCGTCCACTCCATCCTGCCCCCCGGGCATCCATGGAAACACCGACACCCGCTGACCCAGCCTGGATTCCAGATGACACACGTGCCTGAGTCAGCGCTTCACCCTTCCCTGCGCGCCAGGCTCCGCTGACTCCACTCACCCCCAACAACCCCATGCACACACCGTCAGCCCACGGAACACAGACGGCGGCTCACGGCAACAGGGAGAGTGAAACTCAGCACGGGTTTGCAGACACCACCAGGTACAACAGCTTCACGCTTCAAGACTCCTGCAGTGTGTGTGGCACAAACTTCCACAAAAAGTGGGCGCACAGGGGACAAGGGGATTAGATGGGAGGCCCAGGCATGGGCTTGGCCCATGTGGGGATGACAGTAAGAAGCTGAGACAATAGGAAAAGACACAGGACACATTGGAGAACGCCATCTGTCACCCCCAGACACCCCAGGACACCCGCAACCCCCAGGACCTCTGACCCCCTACGACCCTCAACCCCCCATGACCCCTGGCATCTCTGAGGTTCCCTCATCATGCAGATGAAACCTGCTCCAAGCCGTCATCCGGGAGCAGCTTCCCCAGGACCTTAAACCCCGAATGTTGTTTGACCCTGGAAACACCAGGGCCCAGATTTCAGGTTTCCATAACAGTGACGCTTAAGACATCAGTATCTGAGCTAACCGTAGCTCTGCATGTCACCATATGATCCTCAAACAGCACAGAACAGTTCCAAACAGTCCACAAAATCCAGGTAGTGCAGTGCTTGATGGAATTTTCAAGTTAACCTCTTGCTCACTCTTTTTTCAACTTGTGGGCAGACACCTTGGTGGCATGATCCCATGTGTGGATGGAAACCCTGTGGGGGAGACATGCCACACGCTGCTGGGGGGGCCACTGCTCAGACTCTACCCTCTCAAGTTTCCGACCCTGACAACTAGGAAGGAAGGGCACCCAGAGGCCTCCTTGCATGTGAGGGCTGTTACACACCAGCTAATTTATCTAAAGCCCATAAAAACATGTCTCAAACATTTCTGAATCCACATCTGAGTGCTGTGGTCTGGGAGCAATGCCAATTCTCCTCTGGAGACGAGCACCTCCTGCCCAGCGCCCGTCCCATGCTCGGTTCTGATTCTCCTCCTCACTTTTTCCATCAAACACTGCAAAGACCAGGCTACGGATCTGTAACCTGCCTCCGACGGGCTCCGCAGTGTCCATCACAGGACAGGGTGTGCCCACCTGAGGCTCATGGGACAAGGGGCACTCACCTTCTGGCTCTCCGCAGAGGGTACACTGCGACTCTGCAAACAGAACAGATAGAGACATCAGTCAGTCCCGGTTCAGCCACAGACAGACTCAGCGGCAGCCTGATGGGCAGGTTTGCAACCTGGCCGCCAGGCAGGACGACCAGCTCCGACCTTGCATCTCGGCAGATTTTATTGTAAAGAAACCACTGTTGCAGGTGTTTTACATGATGCACTTTTTAAATGACAGCAACTGTGTCATATGCATCTGCACACACTAAATACACGTTCACAGTTGTACATGACTCATATTACTTAGCTGAAATAATAGCAATATATTTATCACTAAATTTCAATATTGAAAACTTTACTTCGATTACAACTCTGTTAGATCTCTCAAGCACAAATAATTATGAGCAAACATATAAGGCTGTGTTTTAGTAAAAACACTCAAATGGACAAGTACCCAGTGCTCACAAAGCAGGCCCACGACTGGGCGCCAGGCTCTGCGGGAGGTCCCAGGACCCCTGGGGACACTGCTGCGGGCTGCACCTTAGCAGGAGTCAGGCACCTGCGAGCACAGTGGAGGCGGGCCTTCGGGGCCGTACCCCAGACCCTGCACAGAGGGGCTCCTTTTCCAGAAGAGCTTTAGCCTGGACAGCAGAGCCGGCTGCACACAGGACTCTCAGCCCTGGGGTCTCTCCCCCTCCCCTTCCCTCCAAATCCAGGCCCAGGGGAAAGCCCCGCAGGGCAGATGTAATACCCCCTCCCCAAACAGAGGCCAAGGACCCACTGTGAAGGAGCCCACCCTCCCCAGCTCACCAGGAGCTCCTGCACCCCACCCTCTGCTCACTGCACACACTTAGCTGCTCCATGTAGGTGGTGCCGCCAGCACTGCCTGCATTTAGGGACGTCCCAGGCCGCAGGGGCTCTTGTCACTGTGACAAGGGTCCAGGCGGCCCATCTGCAGGAAGGTCACCACTGGGAGCTGACGATGGGGCTGGGGAGGGGCAGCCACAGGGCAGAGGGCTTCACGCCCAGCCCCACCATCGACCCTGACCCACTCTGCCCTTGCTGCCCTGGAAGGGACCAAACAACACTAGGTTTTTACTCGGTACAAGAATCGTGCAATGATAACTGAATTTGCATCAAAACTGATCCACAAATTCAAGACATTCTCAGTGGACTTCATCTCCATAGGTTATTATGTTGTATGTGTTCAAAACTATCCCACAAGTTGAAACCACAGTAACAGCACGATGATGATGACGATGGTGGTGGCTCAGTAGCTGACACCCTCAGGGAATTCAGATTCTGTGAACCAAAGATCATTCTCTGGTTCAAAGAAGAAGTGGGGAGATGGTATTAGTTGAGCCCGTGGCATATTAACTTCTCCAGAACGCAAGTCTTAAGCAAATGCCATTTCAAATTCGATTATTAATGCATCTAGGCCTTAGCCTTTAAAGAATCGTTTCCAGCAAGATCACAAGAACCCGTCATCCGTGTGTCACACCCAGGACATGCGGTGGCTGGTCCAGCACCATGTGCACATCTGACAGGTTCTTCTCCTAAGGGTCCAGCATGGCCTTCTGCCATGAGCCGCAGGCCTTGGTAACATGAGGCAGTGAGGGCCCAGCACATCCTGCAAACGCCTCCCAGGTCAGCCAGCCCGAGTCAGGGAAACAGTGCCCAGAGCACCTGACACCCGGCGAGCTGGAGGGAACAAGTGGGCGCCGGGAGCGCTGAGCCCACGTAAGCCTCATCACCAGGGCTGTGACCTCCAGACATTAACATCTCACCATCAGAGACACACGCCAGAATAACAACTGGCCCCGCATGGTGACCCAAGTGGACGGCGGGCCGTGGACCTCACTGTAACGACACCCACTCTGAATTTCAACACTTACTGCCTCTCTGAGCATCTCAGAGTCGTGGCCCTGGGCCCCCACCCAGGGACCCCTACCTCTTGTCTGGGTACAAGGGCCCGCAACACACGGACAGCAGCCCCACCAGCGCTGGGGCTTCACCGGCAGCTGGATGCACCGGGCGGATGCGCACACAAGCAGCACGAGCACACACTTAGAACCTGTCCTGCCCAGGGGTCCTGCCTGAGCTTGCATAGAAGGAGCTGATGTAACACAGATGTCTCCCGAGCAGCAGCGGGGAGGCTTGGGAGCAGGAAGGTCTGCACGAGGTGTCTCCCCTCCCAAGGGTGTGGGTCAATGGACTTGACGGGATCCTGGACACTGTCAGCTCACAGGACACCCACGTGAGAACACTGACACTCCCAGAAATGGATGAAGACCACTGAGTCCACACCTCCCATAAATTCCCTGTCACCTGACAGGAATATCTGTGCCCCAATTACACCCCATCCTGTTCTGCACCCTCTGTACAGACAGGAGGAAGGTAGCCTTAGAGACGCCAATGTGGTTAATGTCACAGAGGCTGGACAACGTGCGGTGAACAGCAGCAGCTCAGAGGAGCGGAAACCACAGCTAGGCTGTGGGAAGCTTCCCAGGAACTGACTTAGGAGGTGAACGGTAGCATTGGGGTTTCTCTGGTCAGGGGCAGGGAGGGACAGAGGCACCAGGCCCAGGCCCCGAGGCCTCCACCTGGGAAGTCACAGGAGAGGCCACAGCTCTGGAGGGAGCGGGATGCTCAGGGCTCACGTTGTGGCAACGAATGGACTTGGGGTGAGCAGGTGTGGCTCATGGGGGCTTTGGGGGGCATTTCTCCCAAATAAGAGGGGCTGTCAGTGCCTGTGATCTGGGACCTTCCTTTCCTCCCCAGGACTCAGTCGGCAGTGGGAGGAGCCATGGCAGAGAGAGAAACTGGGCTCACTGGTCTAAACCATGAAGCATCTTAACCGAGGCAGTCTGGGGAGAGGCGGGACAGTCCAGGGATGAAGGGAGGATGTAGGAGGGTGGAAAGAGTGATTTGGCGCCAGGCAACGCAACAGAGGGGGTGCAGCCTGGACCCCTGACCACAGGCTCAGGGGACCTAGACCCTGGGGACACTGGGCTGCTGATGGGCTTCACGTCACTAGAAATTTGCTGTAAAGCAGCTAACTCACAGGCAAGTGTGGATACGGATGTGGCCACTCAGGTGGGGGCTTTCCCTGATTTGGGGCTGCGAGGTCTGTGAAGGCCCTGACCCTCCAGCTTGGCTTCCCATCTGGTCCTGTCTAAAAGGTGGGTTGTGCTGCTGCTTAAGTGGATTGAACATGCATAGACCAGGCACTGACAGGCTTTGCGGTGAGGTTCTGGCCCCGTGTTTCCAAGCTTCTGCCTCCCTGTGCTCAGATACCTCCCCAAGCCCTGCGCCAGCTGATCACATCCTGGAATCCCGTGACAGGAAAGGTGGGATCCCGTGGACCCACAGGATTCTCTCTGTGTTATCACCTTCTTCCCCAGAGACTACCGGTAAAGACTGCGTCAGTGATGAGGGAATAAACGTGATGCATTGTGAGTTCATCATCATTAGTGCAGAGTCTCATTTAAATTAGGAGACGACTACACTCACTTATGCTAATTGACACAAGACAGAGAAATCTGTCCCAGCTCCAGGAGCACCCTGGAGAACCTGCCTGTGCTCACACTGCAGGTCTGGCCTGCTGGAGCTAGTTCGCTCTCCTATGCGAATGCGCCCGTGTTCTCATCCTTCCGCGAGGAGGGGCACCAGTGTGAACCCAGAAAGCGTTCTGTGGTGAAGCTGCTTGTCTCAGGCCTGTGAGTGAGTCAACCACCTCCCCCTTCTCCCACCTCCCCGCCCTTCTCACGAGGTGACCCAGGGGTGAGCTGGCAGCAGCTCCCCAGGGAGCCCCGGGGGGACAGCTGATGCTCAGAAGCCCTGCAGGCACCCTGCCCAGCTCCCTGGCACAGACTTGCGAGGCCACCAGGGCTGCTGGCAAAGCCGACTTCAAGATCACTGAGAACAGGTCAGCCCTTTCCTGAGGCTGCTTCTTCCCATCAGTGCTCCATTGGCAGGAAGCAGACTGGGTCCCGGTGCTCCAGGCAGGCGGTCGGCTGGGCGCAGGGCGCAGGGCACCTGCTGCGGCAGAGAAGGGTGGCCTGGGAGACCAGAGCTAGGGGCGTGGCCTGGGCAGGGGGCGTGGCCTGGGCAGGGGGCGTGGCCTGAGGGGTTGTGTTACCTGAGCTGCTAGTGAAGCCTGAGCTGAGACGTGGCCTGACCGGGGGGCGTGACCTGAGCTGCGGCGTGGCCTGGGTTGGCGGAGTGGCCTGAAGGTGGAGGGCGTGGCCCGGGTGGGTGGGGGCGTGGCCTCAGAGGCTGGGCCGTGGGCTGCGCCAACCGTACTCATTACTGACTGGGCGTGTGCCCAGTCTGCCTCCTCTCCCCCAGGCCGGGAGTGAAGGGGATGCGGACCCTTCATCTCCGAAGCCTCAGGGCAGCCAGGAGTCAGGACACAGGATGCTCCGTGTGCTTTCACGGGGAGGAGGTCCACAGCAAGAGCCCCGCAGGCAAAACACCCCTGGAATGGAACCAGGCATGCTTCCCAGACACACAGAGGGCACGGTGATATGGCGCTCACTCCCCATGCACTTCGGGTGATGCTGTGTGACTCAGGACAACATGGAGCAGCTATGACGACACAACTCAGTGCTGATATGATGACATGTGATACGGTAACAGGACATACAGACACACATACAGGCATGACATGGCTGTATGACACCACTACATGGTAATACACATAACATACATGATGACACAACTATGGACAATATATGCTTGATGACAGCATGACGATAAGACAGCACAGCTTATAATAACATGACAAAAGGACAGCATGACTCTGTGGTCACACATGACAGGTCACAGTGTGGCCCGACAATGACATCGTGGTATATAATAATATGACCATAAGACAACAGGACTATTGGAGAATATCACCTGACAAAATATAATAGCTCAAGAAACCTGACTGTTCATCAACAAGGAACACGTGAATAAATCATAATTTGATCATTCTATGAAATCTTGTGTGCTAAAATGGAAAAACTCTGAAATGTTAAGAAATAGAGGGTCAAGGGTTG